AATTAAGTGGTATTTTAGATTTGTTAGAGCCAGGAGATGATGTCATGGCTGATAAAGGTTTTACGATCAAAGCTGCTCTAGCTGAAAAACGTGTTACTCTAAACATCCCACCTTTTTTGAGTTCGAAAGGTCAGTTTAGTCCAACTGAAATAGAGGAGACAGAAGATATTGCTAAGCTTAGAGTGCATGTAGAAAGGGCCATTAAGAGAATTAGGGAGGATTCATTTTGGGCAAAAACTGTCCCAATTTCTATGGCAGGATCAGTAAATCAATTCTGGACTGTTTCATGTATTTTAAGTAACTTTAGGGGGCCCCTTATTGCATAGTTATGTGATTTACCTATCCCATGCCATATATGGGAAACAGTGTTGGAGAAAAATGCTGAAATAATGAAGTTAAATGATGATAAATTGCTTGTCCCAAACCATGAAATGGATTTGACCTCTTTGCTAGTAAATGGTACTAACAATACCATGTCTGCTTAGAACTAGTTCATAGGATTAGAACAAGCATAATACTGCATAATTTCAAAATAAAATTTATATCATTTGTTTAGAATAAAACTACATGTTTCACACAAATGTATTATGAAGAGTTGTATCCATATGCAATAATAAACTAAGTTTGAACTGTTCAAATTGAATCTTTGTCACTGTAATGTTTACATAGAAATTACATATAATTCAATGTTCTTTGTCCAGTGCCTTTTCCACAGATATGAACAATTTAATGTTTGGTTCTTCAGTCTAGATGTAGTAYTCAAAGTAAAAGGCATCAGCCTTGTCTTTGACTGTTTGCCACATGTCAGCATCAAACTGGATTGTTTCCAAATGCTCATCATTGTTTGACCATATAAAAAAGTCACACCATTCCATGCCAGTGACAGCCAATTGCATGAGAACCTGGTAGTAGTATGCATGATTCCTCTTTAGACAAATCTGCCCTTGTTGATTCTGGACATAGTCAACTTCTAATACTGAGCTCTTCACAGTACATTTTATTTCCAAAAGACCAAAATAAGGGTTTTTTTGAGGGTCATAAACTATTCTGTCAGGACTTGCAGCCAGCCAGGGACACCAAAAATTAACAACAATACCACAAGGCAAGACATTGACATTCCCTTGTTTGATATGATTGGCATATCTTTCAGCTGCAAGGGGCTCATTCACTGTTCCCAGTCTCATGGCTTCTGTCTGTACAGTTTTCTTCTTTAAATTCTCTACAAGTTTGACTGGATCAGCTCGTTGCCTGCTATATATTCTTCCTATCTTACTTGCAGTGATTCTGGTTCTTCTTAGTTTATGCCACAAAGGTGATGTGCTTTGTAGCCTTGTTTGTTTCTCAAATTTTATCAATGTTTGTAAAGAAAGTTTTACATCTTCAAATTTGATTAGCTTTTCTTCTGTCAGGACAGCATTGTAGTTGTTTTTCATGACATTTCTTACTGGTAAATCAGGGACATCATAGGGACTAACAATATTATAAATGTAGGTGGAAGAGAGCTTTTGCTGGTAGCTCACTGGTGAACCTTTGGGAAAATTTCCATATCTTGTAGCAAGAGCTTGGTGTGGTAGGCATGACTCCTTTAGACCTGGTATGATCTGGCACTCAGGAATCTCCTCTTCAAGACTTTCTAGCAAAGCTTGTGTGGAAGGGAATTCCTCTCGGTTTACTGGCAGATAAAGTGTGCTCTTCACTGACTTGGGAGGAGAATCATCATCTGTCTTTGAATGGTATCCATGGACCACCAAACATTGCACTTCTGCTGGTTCAATTTGCTGGCCTCTGGGTTTATGCCAGGTTTGTGGAAGTGATGTT